GGAAGGCTGCCTTGGTGAGTTCAAATATAAGTGCACCGAAGACCGTGAGGAAGGGAGCTGCCCATGTGCGAAAGAATGAGATGATGGGTCGAGCTTTCTGCCAGTCCTTGGTCGGCTTTGGGAGGAGGCGCGCTGTAGGCAACGGTGCTTGAAGTCGAAGGCCCCATGCATATCGTTGACGTAGGAGAGAAGGTACTGTGTTTACCACTTCAGAGCGGAAGGATGCTGCAGATTCGCGGCAAAGTGAGAAGACATCCCCCGCGCAGAATGTCTTCCGCATCAATATGGCAAACAGGGACGGGCACATCACATGTGCGCGGGAGGGGAAATGATCCGCCGGGATGACTACCCACGAAGACAAAGAAGCCACAGTGCGTTGTAACGATGTCGATGACCAATAAGCCCGATCTTGAAGGTTGATCCGATGAGTGTCCATTAGCTGAGACACAACTGGCTGTAGATCTGAAAGCAGACCGGAACCATGTACATGCCAGCGTCGAGCAAGTTTGCGAAGTTGTGTGGTGAAACGTTGATGTAGTAAGTCGACATCACCGAAAAACTGATCCTTCATCGAGGCGGTCATGATTTCAATGTTAATGTCCGCATTGATGCGAGAAAACTCATCCAACATTACTGCGTGACCATGTGCACGGTGTAGATGGCTATCATCGATGTCCCAACAGCGACACGGAAAGAATGTGTCAGGCGCCCATTTGCGCTGCCATGTGCGATAGTTGTATATCTTGTCGCCCAGTGTGGCGCTGCGAGTTTCCACAACCCGGATCTTTGGAAGGAAAAGAGAGGGGAACAGATCCCGATGAGAAGCAATCCAGCTTTGTAACCATGTGCCCAGTAGAGCTTTCCAATTCTGGACATGTAGCGGCGGCAAAAGTAGCTGTGTTAACGTGGTGGGTGGTTGTAGCCGTCGTTTGCGTAGTACCTGGGCGAGGAGCTTCTGGGCCTTGGAGCGGAAGGGTTCGTTGACAAATACTGCGAGCCGCAATAAGTAGTACAGCTGAGTGGGAGGGAAAGCGGCTGACAGTAGGTCACGCATGACTTGGAACGACGCTCCTGTATTCGATCCCAGCTGATAGAGGATCGAGTAGTGGGCTTGAATGTCATCCAGGGTGTCAGGTCGTAGTTGCCGTTGGAGATCCGGATGTAGTCGTCGTCGAAAGCGCTTGTGCAAGCCGAGGGAAGTGGGCGACGACAACGAGTGGCGTCGAAAATCTACAAGATGCTCCCGGAAGCCCACCTTGCGCAAGATTCTGTGTACCCAGGGCGCATTCAAATGCGGGCGTAGCAGGAATTGCCATTTGCTTTCTTGAACCCACACCGAGGAAACAGGAAGTTTGATTTCCACTGGTACAGCACAGAAGAGCCAGTAAGTGTTGGATCGCTTCCAGTAGTGAAGCGCCGGTTCAAAGAAGGCATGCCGTCCACGAAGTAGTTGTAGAAATTTGCGACTGCGTGAGTGTTCACGACGTAGAACATCCTGATCAGTCGCCCCAACATAGTATGGTGCGTGCCATGGGGAAAGTCGAATGTAGACGCACGGTTGTTGGTGATGACCTGGATCATGTATGAAGTCGTAGAGGTCAGGAAATCGCGCCCGCAATGAGCGTAGATGTCGCGTGTCAGCGAAAGTTGAGTGCATGATTTCACACAAGAGAGAAGTCTTGTAGAAGTGAAGAACTTCGAAGAACGGCGGGATGTAGCCGTGATCCTGTGAAATAAGACGTTGTAAGAAACTGATCAATAAATAGGCAGCGCACCGACATCTGTGAAGTTCGTACCTGTTGGCCACGGTGTGCTGAGAGTTTGACATAGCGCAATTCGGAATCTGGAGGGCTATTCGGACCACAACTAAGACCGCGATGATGAGACCCAGCCACGGCAATTGTGTGATGGATTCGTACTCTTCAATTGGAATCGACGGTGGTGGTAGTCCAGGGAAACAGTAATGCCAGCACGTCGAGAATGTAGTCAACGAGTGCAGAAGGTCGTCCAGCGACTGCCATTGTGCAACATCATCATAGATTCCGCAATGGCGAAGTTCATCCAACATGGTGAGATGCAACCAACGAAATCTACCACAAGGCGGCGACATGAATACAAGCATCACAGACAATCACACAAGAGGCAATGCAAGAACAAGCAAGTACAAAATCAATCATGTGCAACGCAAACACTTGACGGACGAGTTTTCACCTGGACTCATCCGTGACATTGTTGCCGCTCCGGGCTCATATGAGAACGAAGGTCGATATGATGCCTTCTCATCCACAAAGCAGGCGAGCGGTCACGATGAGGTGACTCAATGCCTTCTCGGTGAGTTTGGTAAGGTACCCGGGTTCAAGACCCCATAGTGCTGCCATTGCACCGAGTGTGGGCGCATCGCCCTTCGGCATGCGCTGCCTGGCTTGAAGAAGCTGCGTCGCCATAGAATCTAACGACTTGTTGCCGTTGAGCCGGGACGGGTGATTGGCCCACTTAACCAGCGACGCCAAAGTGGTTGTTGTGGGTGCTTGCTTGAGGAAAAGGCGAGGTTGGTCACTGGTCCATGTGTAGTACTTGACAACTTCATCCGGCGTGCTGTGCATGGTGAGCAACTGTGACGCCGCCGGTTTGGACGGCGGTGACGACACTCCGTGAAGAGACTGCATGATCCGAGGTTGCACCACGCTATCAAACGACTTGCCATCCAGGGCGGCCGCGCTGGCTGTGGGCAGGGAGCTGGCAGGTGACGAGGATGGTGTGTGGTTGACCGGTGGCGGTGTAACCAACTCTGCATCATCTTTCTGGTTTGTCATCGTGGGCGAGGTCGATGCGCGAAGTGATGCGGAATACTGAGCCTGTAGAAGTTCATGTGCACGATTCAAGTCATTGAACTTCTTGACCATGTCATCGGTCTGGGCAGCAGGTGCGAGAGAGGCGTGATGTTGTTGAAGAAATTGAAGTACCAGGTTGGCCAAATGGTCGTGGACCTTGATGCGCTGATTGAAGTCATCAATGTTGAGACCCAGCGTGTTGGCAAGGTCCTTTTCCAGGGTGAGCAGGTTGAGTGACTGCGATCTTCGTAGTAGTTTGGAGCAGGTACTCCAAAGTAAGGCTTCAGTGCGGGTGCGAAAGCCTTCCCACGTCACGAATCGGCCGTGTGCAAACGGCCTGAGCAGCCAGTTGGTGAGGCCCCCGTGGATAACCTGAACCAGGCGTACGTCCCTAATATCCATGCCTGACATGTCGCGAAGGTTGCCATGTGGAGTGTTGGCAACAGTCATGGGCAGGCTGAAGTTGTAGAGTTGATTGACATCAAACATGCCATCTGCAGGTGTCCAGTCAGGCGAGGGAGTAAGCCAGGCTTTCTGAGGACGAACCGGTAGAGCTGCAGGAGGTCCAGGTGAAGGTGTAGGTTGGGAAGTAGTGACCGGTGGTGGCATCATTGGTGGGATGAACTTGGACGGTGTGGGTTCAGGAGGGATCGGCATCATGTAGTTGATCGCCGGGTACTGGAATTGTTGTGTGGGGTTGTGAGTCGATTGAAAATTGGTAGGCACCATCGGAAAGTTGTTAGCAGCATTGTAGCCGGAGTTGTGTTGCCATGAAATCAAGTTGTTCCAATCCATGTTCTCCGAGACCTGGTTGTCATTGTGCTCACGTCGGCGTGCTTTGTGAGCTTGAGGGGACGGACTCCGATCACGTCTGCGTCGAGTCCTGGATCTATCACGATCATCACGTCGAGACATGGTGACGCAACCAGATCGGAATTTGCACACTTCCACCTTGAGAGAATCAGACCCGACAATATTCAAATCCATGCAAATGCAAGTTAGCGGCCCTCAACTGCAATGGTCGAGCGAAATGTACAAGGCAAAGCAAATACAAGTCAGCAATCGACAACCGCAATGATACGAGCAACAAGTTCAACCAATGGTCAAGGTAGGCAATGAAAATCGGCAGCTATCAACTATGGTGAGACGTCACTATGAACTGACGGCTTTCTTCCCTTTAGTGAAACCTCGTTCCTGATTAAATGTGAAATTCCGCTGTTCTATGATACGCACGTTGAGGTCAAATTTTCCGACAGAGCCGGCCCGGGGTCACACAATGGGTACACCCGAGGATTCCCCACGAATGGGGTGTACACACTTGAACTCCAAAAGGAGAGTGCTAATCTTTCGAGTACAACTGATGAGTCTCGAGTACAACTGATGAGTCTCGAGTACAACTGATGAGTCTCGGCTGAGGTCTGCTTGCAAGTCACTTGGCTTCACTTTAGAAACGAAACCGTTACAGGAAAGAACAAGAAGCACAAACAGCGCCGCAACCAAGGGGGCCAAAAGGACATTCAGAATCACGGAAAGCAGGTACAGGTGTCCACGTCTGGACACCCTTCCCACCTTTGGCAATAGCTTCATTGCGTGCAGTATGCCAAAGGTGCTGCACGCCCCTGCTGCGAAACTGAAAGGGTGGTGACAGGGCATTCTGTCACTCCGCACACACACACACACACACACACACACACACACACACACACACACACACACACACACACACACACACACACACACACACACACACACACACACACACACACACTCACACACACACACACACACACACACACACACACACACACACACACACACACACACACACACACACACACACACACACACACACACACCCCAACACCACACACACCCCAACACCACACACACCCACACCACCCACACCCACACGCACACCACCCACACCCACACCACACACACACACCCACACCACCCACACCCACACCAGCCACACCCACACCACCCACACCCACACCCACACCACCCACACCCACACCACCCACACCCACACCACCCACACCCACACCACCCACACCCACACCCACACCACCCACACCCACCCCACCCCCCCCCACCCCACCCCACCCCACCCCACCCCACCCGACCCGACCCGACCCGACCCCACCCCATTTTTAGATCCGTCGCCAGGTTGAGAACTTGAGCTTCAACCACCTTGACCGCGAGGCTGCGCGCGAGAAATGCGAGTCAGCTCATGTTTGCTGCCTAAAAGGAGGTTCCGGAAAGACACGCCAGGGTTTGCCTCCTAAATTTGTTTTGCGTGACACGAGGGTCATATTTGAAGTTGTTTCTTGCATGTTAAGGCTCGGCCAAAACATGACCAGGATCCAAACCCAAAGCTGAGATTTAATTTTAGATCTGAGTTGGAGGAAACAACAAGGGTGCCCATATTCCCCCTTAACTTGGAGAAGCCACTGTGTGTTCCTGTTTCAAGTTGGGGGAAGCAGCCCAGACGTCCAGTGAGCTTCTCAGTTTTATGTGTGTTTCGTATGAGGTTTTCTTCAGAATCGTTGCCAAACAAGGGATCTTGCAACCCAATTCTTAAAAAAAAAAACATCGTTTTAGGGGTCATCCTGCGAGAAGGCGTGGCTAGCAACTCTCCAATTTATGTGTTCCCAAGCAGCGTTTTATGATGTTTGTCTAGGTTCAAGTTTTATCCATGCACCAGTTTCCATTATATCAACATCCTGGTTCGACGTGTTCAGGAGATTCGCCTGTATATGGTCAACACCAATTGAATGCGGCTAAAAGGATATCAGCGATTTCCATGTGCAGCCAGCCCAAACTCAGCTGCCCCAACCAGTCACAACGTATGGGGGTGGAATCAAATAGTCAAACCATCCCAGCCTGTGCCTTTTTGTGTCGTCACAGGTCACGGTGGAGTTGGTCGGGATCTTTCGCGAGGCGATCCTGGAAGTCATGGAGCTGGAGCTCGTAGGTTTCTCCTCCCAGGTGCCTGGGGCGAGGATGGGCGTGGGGCCCTCCGAGGGCCCGGAAACACACGCGCAGGGCGAAACAAGACATCCCCACGGACTACCAAATGGGGCAATTGTAAGGGGTCAAGCAAAGATTGGGAGAGGGGGGGTGTTGGGTGCGTGGCCTCCATGGGGAGTTGATGCATTCGTGGGAAAGATGCTTCTGGGAGAATAGGGTGCATGTAGTGGTAAGTAAGGCCTCAAGGGCTCACCTTGGGCACCCCCTTGAGAAATGGAATTGTCCACATGGTCTGGGAGGGTTTGGGAGAGGGGGTGGGTGTTCATTGTTTTTGTTCTTCAGGTTTTGAATTATTTCTCAGTTGTGCAATGCCAAATTGTTTAATCTGTTGGTTTTTCTTTGTTTGGTTTACTTTTGGTAAAAGCCCTAAAGGGTTCACCTTTGCGCTCGCAAAAGCAGGTTCGCCTTGTATTTCCAGGTCCCTAAGGGGCAACTGATTGGAGACCTTTGCAACCTGAAGCTCGAAATGAGGTGAAGGGCCGAAGGGGCAGGGTATCTTGGGAGATGGTTTTTGGATTTTCCTGGCTGTATTAAAGGCACCCACATCCATGTTTTTCAGTTTCGCTTCCCAAAGGCAGAGCGGTTGGCACAGGATCAGGCACCGGAAGGCTCCAAGGATCGTCTGAAATGTTTTTTGTTTTGTTTTGTTTTTCTTTTCTCGGGAGGGTCCCTTTACATGCCAACGGGTCCACCATCTCGAGGCGCGGTGGGGCATGCGGGCCCTTCTCAACTACGCGGGTGGCGCGATGATTTTCATGCGCCGGGAGTACGCGGGACGCGTACAGCTCCGCGTCGGGGAGCAGAACGGCGGGACCCTTTTTCAACCTTTTTGAATAGAGCCGGTATCAGGAGGGCTTGGAGTGAGCTAGGTTTTGTGTTTAGCGAGTTGTCCAAATGGGTTTGTGCCACAAGGACCCTCAAGATGGTGGTTGTCCTTCTATGTCCCTCTTACCCACCTCAAGACATATGGCTGTGGCTCAACAATCCGGTACCCAAAATGCGGCACCAATCGCCCCCCAGAAAGGCCCGGTACAAGGCACAGGCCAGCAGGACCTTTTGACACCCATGCGTGTCCAGTTTTTGACCCGTGACTTGCAACTGCACCGATGCAGTGCTGCAGCCTTGCGCAGCGATGATTTTGAGTCGGAACTACCGAACTCAAGTGTTTGGTGGACATGAATCCACACCGAAGTGTTATGTCCACCGCAGGGTCCCCATTAGAATTCACCCCTGTGCTCGTGGGCGGTTGTCTTTTTGATTTCAGCAAGCCACTGGAAGTCCTTCTCAGCCTGCATCTACAAGATGTGGGCCACCATTTTGGCCAAAATGGTGGCCAACAGGGAACACTCACAAAACACCAACTTGAGCAGCAGTGGCTTGTGCAGATGAAGGATGTTGGCTTGGACTCCAAGTGGCTTCGATCGAAGCGGCGTTGCGAAGCTTCGCGAAGGCAGCCCTTCCACAAATTCTGGCCCCGCGAAGTTTGCAGCGAAGGCTCCCTAGCCGTCTTTTGGCCCCCAATCTCGAAAGAACACTGCTCAACTCTATTTCGCTTGCCGGCTGAGGCTGATTCAGAAGAGCTGGAAGATTGCAAATTGCGTGAAGACGGAGGAGGAAGAGGAAGAAGCAGACGAAGATGAAGAGGGTCACGAGTGACTCGGATTTTGGCCTGGGGGTAACACGAGCTCACTATGATGTTTGCGTTGGCCAGACATGGCCAGTCTTGGTTGAACATCCATTTGGCTTTAATTTGGCAATCCTGGAGTATCCATGACCCTTCCAAAAATGGGTAATGCCCTTATTTTGGGTAGATGACCCGTTGGTAGTCGCAAATTAGACGCTTGGATGTTTTGTTTGTCAATGCACTCAGGAAGTGAGGATGGCAATGGCTCGGGTTTCAACTTGGTTCGAGACTCCTTTGCCAGTGGTGTCGATCCCCGCACAAGAACACCGAGCTTAGGAAGTGCGTTTATTGTCAAAGCACCACGACTTTCTCAGCCCGTACCCCCGCTACGGGGTGATTGGACATATTGGACTTTCTGGGTCAGCCCGTTGTGCTGCGGCTGCTCGCGGGCCGATCACGTTGGTGTAGTGTTAGGAACCTGGAGTCTCCTTCTGACCCTTCAAAAGCTGGGGTCATCTGCCCAAAAAAGGTCGTGACCCCATGTTCAAACGGAGACTCCAAGAACTTGTAGCATGTTGCATCATGCTATGAATCGACATCAGTCGCAACCGCTGGGATCCCCGGCTTGCGGCACTTCAAATGTGGGTAACCCTTTGCAGGCATAGAAGGCCTGGCTACCTGCGCACAACTACATACATATGTTCAATATATATATATATACACATATATACACATTTACATATATATATAGGTGTATATACATATATATACATATAATTTTATTGTATATCATTGGACATCGAGCCTGCTGATCCTGGCCTGTATATATATATATTATATTATATATATATATATATGTGCCGGCTTCCAGCTGTGCGCTTGCACGCTGAGCTCGCAAGAAGTTGCGACTTGTCTACTGGCGCCCAACAAGCTGCGAGGCCTATGGAGAATCCTGTGGAGATTCCTATGAACTATGGAAACGGGTTTGGCAGATTCCCATGGAGTTTTGCTGGCGGAAGGCGGGCAAACTCCGAGCCGGTCCTAACGCAATGCTTGCGAGGCTGAGAGAAGAGGGGAGCAATCACATCGACCTCAAGACCCTGCCCAAAACCCTGCCCAAGGCCAAGTCGGAGGCGTGGAAGCTTTCCCAATGCGTGCAGGTAGGAGGGTTATAGTACGGCCCCAAGAAGCCTTGCCATGTTGGTAGGCTTCAGGCTTACATCCAGGGCCCGTGCAAAGCCTTCGTAGATGAAGATTGGTTTCACGGCGGATACAGTAAGGCCCGCGCAAGCCTTGTTTACCCTGTTAGGTTTCATTGAGGCCACTGAAACGGTGGTTGTGTGGCGCTTCGGGACATGATCGGTTGAAACGCACCTTGGCCCCCAACAGATTGGGTAAACTGCAAACAGGCGGTATCCAGCCAAATAGCTCAGAGGAATGATCCTTGCAGTCATGATTCGCGTCGGCAACTAACGAAGCCAAACCGAGCCCTGCGGATAAACCTCCACCTTCGGAACCCCTGTCCATTCCTTTCATCTATGTCTCAAGCAACGCATCGCTCCATCCAGCCAATCACTTCCAGTCCTTCACTTTCAGTGAGCTATGGGTCTTCTTCATGGAGGCCCTTCAGCCCTTCAAGAGCCCGGCCACTGGGGGCTGTTTGCCGGATCACCACCGTTGCGTAAGAAGGCGCCGTGGAGCTCGACGTCGTAGGTTTCGTTCCTTCGCCCACCTCCAGTCTTGCCCTCCGCCCTCATGTCTTTCATGGGGCAATCGCCTCTTTTGCGCTTGCTGCTGCAAGTCCAGCACCTCTTCCCTGCTGCTTGTAGGAGCAGCAAGCCCCGCCCCCCCCCCCCCCCACCGTTTTGTTCATCCCGGCGACCATGGTAGATCCTTTAATTTCTGATCATCTCCGTGGGGTTGGAGTCCGCCTTGACCATCGCCTTGGGCCCAGTCTTTCGAAAGGTAGATAGATAGATAGATAGATAGATAGAGAAAGATACAGAACATGAGATTCAACGGACAAGAAGACAATAAGGAAGGAAGGAAGGAAGGAAGGAAGGAAGGAAGGAAGGAAGGAAGGAAGGAAGGAAGGAAGGAAGAAAGCAGGAAGGAAGAAAGCAGGAAGCAAGGAAGGAAGGAAGGAAGGAAGAAAGGAAGGCAGGAAGGAAGGAAGCAAGGAAGGCAGGCAGGCAGGCAGGCAGGAAGGCAGGAAGGAAGGAAGGAAGGAAGGAAGGCAGGAAGGAAGGAAGAAAGGAAGGCAGGAAGGAAGGAAGGAAGTAAGGAAGGAAGGCAGGAAGGAAGGAAGAAAGGAAGGCAGGAAGGAAGGAAGGAAGTAAGGAAGGAAGGCAGGAAGGAAGGAAGGCAGGCAGGCAGGCAGGAAGGAAGGAAGGAAGTAAGGAAGGAAGGCAGGAAGGAAGGAAGGCAGGCAGGCAGGCAGGAAGGAAGGAAGGAAAGGAAGGAAGGAAGGTAGGAAGGCAATCAATAGTTAAAGACGTACGAATACACGGAACGGAGGAGAGAACAACTCGAAATAAATATTTCAATATAGAAACAAATACCAACCAACATATAACTATAGACAAAAGTTCGTAGATATTGCAACTGCTTCGCCGCTCTACTGGGCCCCTTTTTGAAGCGCTGCAGGACACAACAACCTGCTCTTCGCCTGCTGGTTCCAAGGGCTTGGGATCAGCGAACTCGCCTCAAGTGCACCTCGATCGGCAGGTGAGTGCGCATGTTGGTTAAAGGAAGGCCGCGGGAATCACAAACCCGGCCTATTCTGGGAGTTCCCCTCAAGTGATGAACACCCCACAAAAAAAGGGTCCCCCCCCGCCCCCCAATTCACCAAAGAGGATTATGAATCCGGAGTTCCCAGTGTCCTTCGCTGCTTTTGTAGAGTATCAAAGTCAGAAAGTGGGGCTGTTCCCCTTTACGCCATGGGCCGGCATATTATATTGGTGTCTAAAAAAAGGGGTTTGTCGGGATAGCGGTCCATTTCTTACCGGTTGAAAGGTTTCCTTCTAAATACACAAGCACGGTAGGTTCGGACTTGGCCCACGTCAACTTCACGGTCACTTCACCAAAGAGTCAAATCCCATAGGCCAAGTTGTGCTTTCGACAGACTCATCCGGTCCGAATGTGACATGTAAACAAGTGAAGAGCTGCGAACTTATCTTTTTCAGAAGTTCGAACAGGAATGCTCCCTCAGCCGTCTTTGAAGCTTCTCCATGATCCTTAAATAATTGGGTAGATGAGTCACCCCCAAAAGCCAACGCGTCAGCGAGAAGTAAACTCTATATAAACCCGAAACCAAGCCCCCATGTCCGAGGAAGAGTAACCAGGAGAAGGCCAAGCCTTCGCTGACGCAAGGCAAAGATGGAGCACGGGAGACCGTTCGCACGAAAGGTCTGAGCGGCTCCAGCATCCAAAAGTTCAATCATTCATGCGTCTCCCATGCGGTGTTTTAATTGGTTTGCGCCCTGTTGCATTGGTTTGCTTCTCTGTTCCTTTAGTAAGAACATTCATCTACTTTTGGTGGGTTCCTTTGACTAGGGTCCTCCGCTTGCGAAGTTCTACTCCCTCAGACATGGAAGCTCCCAGAAGGCCTCTGTAAATGGAGCTGATGCCCGACGGATTCAGACAGGCCCCACGATCTTACCACCAAAGTCACCACCCCAAGCGGTAAAATAACGGAACCATCAACCAAGTTTCTGACTTTAATCCCGATAAAAATCGTCTGAACATTTCAATAAATCCCAGTTTGTGACTTGACCCTCCCCAACAATTGTCTCAAAATGGGCGCCTTTTCTTGTGACAGAGGGAAAAACCATTTCTGCCCCACAAAACCGGGGTCAATACGAATTCAGAGGCCGCCTTCCGTTGCTCTCCGTTGCTTTCCGTTGCTTTCCGCTGCCCGTCGGATTCCGTTTCGTAGGCCGGGAGGTGAAGGTGCCGGAGACCTTCGAGGAGATGTTCCGCTTCTCCGCGGCGGTCATGGGCTTTGGGAAGTCCCTGTGGATGGCCCACGTCTTGGAGCAGCTCCTCGGAGCTCGAAACACAAACCCACAAACCCAAGGGATTCGTGTTTCTCCCCCTATTTTTTGTTGGTTGTTTTCTTTCCTTTTTATTTAAAGAAGTTGGCACCCTTTTTATCTAGGCCCCCCAGCTAGGTGGCTAGTTGACCCTTTCCTTTGGGGGGGAGGGTTCCCCTACTAAAATGGAATACAGAACAACAGGGAGGATCTAGATGAGAACCTTCATCTACTTTTGGAGGGTTCCCCTACAAAAATAGACTACATGCAGAGAAAAAAGGGAGGACCTAGATAGGAACTTTCATCTACTTTTGGAGGGTTCCCCTACTAAAATAGACTGCAGAAAAACAGGGAGGACCTAGATAAGAACTTTCATCTACTTTTGGAGGGTTCCCCTACAAAAATAGACTGCATGCAGAGAAAAAAGGGAGGACCTAGATAGGAACTTTCATCTACTTTTGGAGGGTTCCCCTACTAAAATAGACTGCAGAAAAACAGGGAGGACCTAGATAAGAACTTTCATCTACTTTTGGAGGGTTCCCCTGCTAAAATACACTACAGAAAAAAGGGAGGACCTAGATAAGAACTTTCATGTACTTTTAGAGGATTCCCCTACTAAAATACACTACAGAAAAAAGGGAGGACCTAGATAAGAACTTTCATATACTTTTAGAGGATTCCCCTACTAAAATAGACTACAGGGAAAAATAGAAGAAAAAAAACAAGGGAGGACCTAGATAAGAACTTTCATGTACTTTTGGAGTCGGCCTTGGATCTCGAACTTCGGTGGAAATCGATGCGATTGCCTCATCTCTTGCTGCTGTGATCAGTAGGAAAGGATGAATGTAGGGATTCCCGAGGAAAAGAAGCCAGAAGGGATGTAGAGGTCGTTCCATCTCTCATTGCCCACGTATCGCACCAGCAAGAGAAGGCAACTGATGAACCAGAGCTGATGTCGCGCGGCGCTCTTTTTTCCCCGAGCCTGGCACCCTCAAAAGGGTGTGCCAGTTTTGTCAGAGTACACCTTAAGGAGTGGTGGTTTAGTTGGACACCAAAAGGAAAGTCACGCCATTTACCCCCAAGACATGAGTTATGCGAGGTCTTCGGAGCCCCAAACGGGCCTCCTAATTCGCCTCTCAGATCTTTTAGGGAAGCTCCGCCCTCAAGGCGTTCCAAGCGGTTGCCGAATCGGACTCAGCAGGACCAACTTTTCTTTGGATTGGAAAGGGAAACACATGAAACACATATGGCTGTGGCTCAAAAAACCGGTACCAAACTAGAACCCTGGTAAGTGGAAACATGGACCAAAACCTGCGTAACCCCCTGTTGAATTTTGAGCCACAGCCATATGTGGGAAACTGTTGCACCAGTGTACCAGTTTCATTGCGCCCAAACGTGTGAATCCCTTGAAACAACTGAAGTCAGTGGAATCAATCAGCTCCTCACTTCTCGAGTTTGTGGGCTTGGACCAAACTTTAGTGGCAAACAAGTCTGGAGGTTTTCTGACTTATCCACTCAGCAAGTGAGGCTCACTGGCACAAAAGGTCACCAACGAGTTCCAAGTCATCCAGATATTAAGTTCAGTTTTCAAAGTTTACGCTGCAACAATGCAACAATGGCACCACAAAGGCTCCCAAACGAAAGGTTCTTCTAGCGTTGTTTGAGGTCTGAATCTGACAAAGTAGTAGGATGGCCAATTAAAATGCCACTTCAGTTAGACCTTACCATTTCTAGCTCGGCAAAACACTCGGGGTGGGGGGCGGGGCAGGGTTGCGATCCTATGATCCATGAACCCAGAATACCCTTCCCCTATTAACCAGTGATTTCTCCTTCAGGGTTTTTGGAAGTTCCGCAAAAAAGGGGTGGTTTCAAAGGAAACCAAACGAGAAAGCCATGTAGCACCTTTTTGTTTGGGGGGGGGAGCATTTCCTAATTTTGACATACCCTCCTAGGTTCCCATTTCCATGTTTTGATGGGAATGGCTGGCACTTGGATCGGCCCTTCAGGTTGATCGAATCGGCGTTTTGTCACATCATTTGTGACCAGGGCCAATGTTGCCCCATTCCTACGCCTGTAGCATTTGCAGAAGCCACGATACAGTTTTGCAAGTTGCGCATCCCATCCGCAAAGGTGACACTTGACAAATCAACCTGGCGGACTATAAGTGTGTCCTAAAGTGAAGAATCCGGATCGTCTAAGATGGTATGCCCAAAAGCTAGAATCATAGCCAGGACCTTCAGGGGCTGTGAAATGGTGGCCCAAATGGCCCCGTACGGTACAAATGGACTTGGAAGGATCCGGAGGAGTGAAAATTCCCTTCGGCCGAGTGATCAACAATATCCGCACTGTTTGGCCAAAAATCGTTTTTGAGCTCCAAGTGGGACGGTCATGTCCGGTCCCATTGCCAAGGTTTGACAACATCGTCCTGCGCCTTAGCCCTGCTCGGCAATGCTTGACTCGGGGGCCGCCATGGGTTGAGTGGTGATGATGGTTCTTGGCGGTTCCCGGCCATACCCCTAAAAGACTGTTTAGAGTTCCGGAGTTTAGAGGGATTTGTCACATATCCGACTGAAAGTTCTACTTCTAGAAAAAGGATGAACGAAGCACCAAGGGTTGTTAATTGTGGTCGCCGTCGTCGTCGCGTGCGACTGCTGCTGCGGCTAGATGTTCTGTCGCAGATGGCTTGACTGACCGGTCGTTAGACCAGCAAAGCGTTGACCGTTTGAGGGGGTCTAAGTGTGGGCAAGACAGAGTTTTGAACGGAACTGTGATCTCATCGTATTGCGGTTTCTCTCTTCTTTGTATATTCGTATTTCTATATGTGTGTAGATAGATGTATATTCAGCGGCTGACTGAATATGGACCGCAATCTGAGCACCATATTCGCGTACCCAGAGTTGGCAAAGTCCCACTCCCTATGAATTATCCACCTGGTCCCCCCTGCCGGTTCATTTCCAAAACCCCAAGGGAACACTTCGCTGAGATCCACCAAGTTCCAAGGGGACCAGGCGAGGTAAGGGAGCTCTGTCATCTCTCCAAAAAAGCGCTCCAACGCGGAGTTACAACAGCCATGGACGTGTCTTGTTTTTAGGCGACCCAAAATGGCTCCGGTTTTCCAATTGGTTTCCTAGCGTCACAAAACCAGGTACCAGCTCTCAAAAAGACCAAAAGGAGGATTCAGGGAGGCTCGATCCAACCAGGAACGCGGCGAACTCGGCGCGACTGCGGGAGGAATGCGACGTGCTGTCGCTGATTCTGGCGCAGGCGAGCCGCGTTTTCGCGCTTACAGCGCGTTTTTTGTGGGCGTTCCGGGAACAAAAACACGTACGGGTGGAAAAAGAACCCCCGCGCCTTTTCGTTGTGTCAGGGCCCGTGCCGTAACTTTCTTTGCAGGCCCGGAACACTGTAAACCGATGCTGACGAAAAACAATACCCGTAAAAGCCCTGAAGACACATATCAGGTCCAAGGTGTTAGCGC